GATCAACATGCTCTGAAGTCAGTTCCAGTCCACAAAAACTTTTTTTGTAACAAAATATCGATTTCTTCTGTCCCTGTATCGATACATTATTAGCAAACAAAATATCACGATACTACACAGTATCGATTTTTTTCCCCACCCCTAATATATGTGTGTGTATATGTGTGTGTGTGTGTGTGTGTGTGTGTGTGTATACTGTATATATCATAAATGAAGGATAAGCCAGATGTATCTTTTTGTATTTGTCCAACAGAAGGGGAAGGTGAAGGAGGCTGCACAGCGTTATCAGTACGCTCTCAAAAAGTTTCCACGCGAAGGCTTCAGCGAGGACCTTAAGACATTCAGGGAACTCAAAGTATCGCTCTTCCTCAACCTGTCCCGATGTCGAAGGAAAATGAACGTAAGTCAGCAGAAAAGCAGCAACAGTGAAAAACACTAAATTGTTAAAACTGAAGGATGTTACTAAAGCCTTTGATGGTTAATGATACTATTGGCCACATGTCAATTTCTCTCACTGTTCTGTAGTGTTCATTATTCTTCTCCTGTGCTTAATCTCTCCAGGACTTTGGGATGGCTGAGGAATTTGCTACTAAAGCGCTCGAACTGAAACCAAAATCTTATGAGGCATACTACGCCAGGGCACGCGCCAAGCGTAGCAGCAGGTACACTCATTTTTATCCTTGTACAGATCAGAAGAATGCTTTCCTTTTTCCTTACCCCTTTCTCCGTGGTCTTCCTTTTTAAAGGATCTCTATATTCCTCCCCCAGATTTTACAGTTTTGCGTAATTTACTTTATTTATTTTATTTATTTTCTATTATTTTAGACAATTTCCTGAAGCCTTAGAGGACCTGAATGAAGCCATAAAGCAGTGCCCCAATAACAGAGAAATCCAGCGGCTGCTCCAGAGGGTGGAAGAGGAATGCCACCAACTTAACCAGGAGGAGCACCAGCAGCAGGACCTGGAGCTGGAGCCTCCTCCCTCACCCCCTCCTACACCTCCCCCAGAAGAGGAGGAGTCCCTGTCTCTGTCCATGCCTCTCCCCCCTCCACCAGAGCCCCGTCTGGAAGACATGGAGCCCGTACAGGACTTGTTTGAGGATGAGGACTACCTGGAGCAGGAGCTGGAAGCTATGTCGATGGGTCTGCCCCCACCTGAGTCCCTCTCAAATCCCTCCAGCCTTCCTATAATTCAGAGTCCACCCCTCTCCCCCACACATCCAGATCAGATTTACTTGGCTGGAGGCTCACCCATGGGCCAGCCCTATGAATACCACCCCACCTCTTCCTCCATGTCCTCCCCAACTCGGGGCTCCTACCAGCCCACGTCACCCTCCCTCTCTCCAACACATCAGAACTCCCATTACAGACACAGTCCCCCTCACACCTCCCCAGTACACCAGCCATCCTACCGCTTCAGCCCACCTCCTATGGGTACCGGGGGTCAGGGGATGGATCACCAGAGCCCACCGCCTTCCCCTTTACGTCGGGCTGCTCAGTATAGAGCCAGTCCACCGTTAGAAAGTGTTTGTCTGTACAGGTCTCAGTCTGGGTCACCTGTGCGCTATCAGACAGAGCAGCTTCCTGGAAGACCCAAATCTCCCCTCTCCAAGATGAGCAGCCAACGTTCTTTCCAGCTGAGTTCGCAGCCCTCTTTATCCTCACAACACCACCAAGCCCAAGGCCTCCGTCTGCAGCCTTCCATAGCCCAAATAGTCCGCACAAACCAGCCCAGCAACGTAATGGGAAATAGTAGTTATGGTGGCCAGATGGGCCACTCCATGGGTGGTCGCTATCAAGGGGGTTCAGTGGATGTAGAGAGCCGCTTGGTGTACCAACCCTCACTGGATGGACGGTCAATGTCCCAAGTCCAGGCCAGCCTCAGTTCTGGGGCCCTCTGTCAGCACGGCGGCCGAGGAGGGGTTATGGAGTCGAGCCTGTTGAAGGATGAGCTACCCCAGCGCCCCTCCTCTGCCTACCGCGCCAGCAGTGGGGGCCCAGGGGGCATCCGTTACAGCCAGACACCTCAGATAAGCCGCAGCCAGTCAGCCGCCTACTACCCAGTCTCTGAACACGTTCTTGAGCGTGCCAATGCTATGCCCCCCTGCCAGCTGGGCTCTCCCGAGATCCCCCATATGGTTAGACGCCCTGTGAGTGCCAATACTACTGAAATGAAGCAGCATGTGCCCACCCCTAGGCCTCTCATCCATTCTCAGAGTGTAGGCCTTCGATTCTCACCTTCCAGCAACAACATCTCAACTGGATCCACCTCGAATTTAGCCCCGGGTTTCAGGCCTTCCTCTTCCATTCAGCAGATGGAGATTCCCTTACAAGCCACATACGAGCGCACCTGTGATGACATCTCTCCCATCTCTCCCTCCCAGGGTGGTGGGGGGTTGTATCAGGGAGAGACCACTCGCTCCCGCAATACGCCTTTTATGGGGATCATAGACAAGACGGCTCGGACTCAGCAGTACCTGCATCAGCCCTCACGGTCCAGGGCAATGACATCTATGGACTCTGCCATCAGCCCCACCTCCCCCGGTCAGCTGGTCCAGCAAGGTTCCACCTACAGTCCCCCCGCCTCACTGGGTAATATCGCATACTACAACAAGACCAACAACGCCCAAAACGGACACCTGTTAGAAGAGGATTACTACTCCCAGACTCAGCCCCCCTCTCTGGGAAAGCTGGCCAATGGCTCCCGTGGCAGTGGGGACATCCTGGAACGGGTCAGCCAGGTGCCCACCTACCCAGACGTGAAGGTGGCGAGGACTCTGCCCGTGGCACAGGCCTACCAGGACAACATGTACCGACAGCTCTCGCGTGACTCCCGGACCCAAGGCCCCACCTCCCCCATCAAACCAAAGAGACCATTTGTGGAGTCGAATGTGTGATGGCCTGTCTGTGATTGGATGGTTGGACTGGGCTTGTTAGTGGAACTGAGAGAGTAAAAAATATTTAGCTCGACAGAAGATGTGACGGGGTGTGTGTGTGTCATGGACGAACTCATCTCAACGAACTCACTAGAGAAAGAAAACCACAAAGCCAACAAACACACTTTAGGGTATTAGACATTATCTTATATGAAAAACATAACGGTGAGAAGTGATTCTTTCAATATCATAATCTGCAAACAGGTAGGATAACAGGAGGATCGCAAGTTGTAATCTAAATCAGAGACCAGTTCACTTCCAACACGTGGCACATTGTCCCCACGTGTGACCACATCAGGTGGGACTCCAAGAGTGAAAGTACTACCCATCGGACTCTACTTGTGGACTCTGTATCCATCTTCTGTTCTTTCAAAGTGTGCTCTTAACCAAGGTTGCTAGTAGGCTCTATTCTATGTAATACAATATTATATGTTCAATACTGTACATTGCTCAGAAAATACAAATGGCTCAACAACTCAGTACTTAGAGAAAAATGACAATATTTATAATTAAGTTATATATTGTACATAAAAAGAAAACAAAACATAGTTTGCATTTTGACTTTTATTCTGTTAACCCTGCCTCTGTGTCACACTGCAAGTCATACGGATGTGGAAAACCGACCGGTGGACAAGGGACACAGACAAACTTTGACTGATGAAGTTACCTCTGTTGTGTCAAAATAAAAAGAATTTTGCTATAATATAATGCAAGCGAATGTGTCAACCTGCAGATTATTTTTTGATAGATTAGTTAGAAAATGATAAAGTTGTCATTCCCACTTCCCCAGCAACATCTTCACAACATATTTTGCTCTATCGGCAAACCAAAAGAGTTTAAGGAGAAAGCAGAAGAGCAACAAATCTTCACCCTCTTTTAAATGATATCAGTCGATAATCACAGTAATTAAATATGTATTGTCTGTCAGGCAATAATAGCAAATTATTTTGGCTGCAACTTGTCTTTCACTCAGTTGGGTGCTTTTATCAAATGGCAGAAAAATCAAAATCAAAGTTTGCCTCTGTCCCTCCTCCGTGTGAGCGATGGCGGAAAGTACTCAGCGACTAAAAGCAAGCAAATGCATACACAACCACTGTTACCAACCTTTCCCTTTCTTCTGCATTGTTTTTATGATTTCTTTTAAATCATAATGCATTTTTATTCAGCCACTTCTGCACTAAAATGCCTGACAAGGTCTTAACTAAGGGTGCACTTTATGTATTTTACTTACTTTGTTACGATTGTTACATTAGGAGTAAGTGAAAGTGGGCAAGTGATCCGTCAGATCGCTGATCAGTGCTAACCAGACTACGACAGACACTTATTATGTGAATTGCAATGCAGTGGTGAGTGATAATGTTCAGAATCTGGGATGATATATAAACTTTCTAGCACAAGAGGTATGTATTGGCTCAGATATTTCACTCTGTCCAGTTCAGGTTTGTTAGATAGTTTGTCTGTTTAGAGAGGCGAATCATACTTAAGTAACTCCACCTCATAAAAATATATTCCTCTAACTCTGAATCACTGGTTTTGACACCATGTCCACTGGCACACGTCTTCTAAATAAATCGAACCTACTGCAACAACAAAAGCCTGAGATTTCAGTATCCAGGAGCTCTGTAATTTGGAGTTTGAGTCATAGAGATGATGAATAATGAAAATATTGAAGTAATTTATATATGTGGGAATGATTATAGACTATTTGTCTGTAACATTTTATTTTGGATGTCTGATAAAGAATAAATGGAGACAGTTGTCCTCAGTTTTACCTGCTACTGGAGAGAAGCCCTACTTAACTTTACAGAAATGAAGGTATAAACTGTATTATACTTAATTTAAACAGGACTTTTTAAGTTGAGGTTATTTGAGGGTGTATGGTTTCAAGCTATCTGTGTATATTAGTTCGCTGTAAATAGTCTGATGCATGTTCTATTCTTTCCATGACCTCAAGCAGAAACATGTATAGCAGTGTCTCTGGTGTGTGTGTGTGTGGTACAACGTTTGGATTAAGATGAGGAGACTGCTATCCCCCGAACTTATCCTTGTCATTTTCCCTCAACCACGCCAGACAAAAAAGTTCTTTTTATTTTATTTTAACATATTTGCTTGCTGAGCAGAGTTCTCTTGTCTGTAAATGTGAGCTTTCAGATCGCTGTGAAGTTTAATTAAAAACAATAAAAAAGAATGTGTTTTTATCTCATGATAACTGATTGTAATCTGTACAGTCGAACATATGTATTGGAAAAAAGGAGAACATATTTATAAATGGTTACCAACTGAAACACGCCCTGCATGTCAATCATTTATTTATTTTTTTACTGATTTGGGAATAACATAGGAATGTAGCTTTCAAGTTTTTCGGTCACAAAGCAACAACACAAAACTGAGCATCAGACATTTGCACAATGCTCAAATTCTTTGCCTTTCACTAGTCGCAAATCTGAGGTTTTAAACCTCGGTAACAATCTTTGACTCGTAAAGATTCAAACAACACAAAATGCACATAAACAAAGTTGCACTTTTCCCAATAAAGTCGATATTTAGCAAAAATACTGTAGTATTTACAACACTTATGATTGCACTAGATTCACTAGAGACATACTTTACGCCACAATGTCTCAATACCGGCACTTTTAAAATCATCAAATAAGAGGAAAAACACAGGTCACAGACTGGATAAAAGGCCATTGTTTAGTGAATTTTAAGACGTGAAAATTAAACTTAACCCATACCCATCAAAATGGTTCTGAAACGCAGCGAACATTAAACATTAAATGTGTTTATACAAACTCTGAAGGAAACTCCAGTTTTGGGAGGTGTTTAAGGTGCACATCATGTGTGGAGGACCTCTTCTAGTCTTTCTTTTTTTTGAATGTTAATAGGTGTACCAGCCCAGGCACAAGTACCATAACGATCAGAGGCACTAGGACGAATTTGACGAAGAACAGGCTGTAGAAAAGGCCCAGTGGTCGGACCGGGAGCGGTAGACGATTCACGTGGTAAAGACCCATGGATGATACAGCCATAGACAAAGCTCTGGGAGCCCAAGGTAGAGACCATCCACCAGGCTTCCAGTACTGTGCCAGCCCCAAACCCAACAGGGCCCCACAGTCTCGGGTGAGAGAGGAGAATGGGGCTGTGTCCAAACGAATCCATTCTGCATGGCTGCACCATTTCTTTGCCAAAGCAATAGACCTGTTGAATCAAAAACATGACCGGTCATGGAAGGAAGTCCCTTTATATTATCACAATATATACTGATCAGACTCACTGATTAAACATTAATGTAATAGAGTAACTCACCAGGAGAGGTCAATTCCCAGCTGCTTTAATCCAGCATGGAGCATCAGAGCTCCGAACAGCAGCCCAAAGCTTAAACTAAAGAAGAACAGCAGGGGGCGACCTTCTGGTACTCTGCAGCTCAGGACAATCCCCAGAATGAAACCTGACAAGAGCATTTCATCAGATTAAGCTGCACACATGGGAAAACTACCCTATGGGTCTGACAAATCCAATTATGAAATTCTTTTTTGGGAACTACAAAAATCCTGTAGAATTGCACAGATAGTTGATAGCAAGCAGCTCAAAAACCAGCACAAGTGATGATGGAGTGCACTAGTTCTACATCTGTGTTAGAAATATTAACACTGAATAATGTTTTGGAGCAACCAATGCTTTGATTCAGAGGACACCTGTTTTAGGAGGGGCATCAATCATTTCAGCAAATCACATTCTGCAGCACAGCTGCATATTTACACAATCTAGGTCTTAAACATTCTTGCCTGTAATCCATTAGAGTCAGTCAGTGAAAATATTTAGTGTATTTTGAATTTAAACCTGTATGATTTGCAGCTGTGATCATATATCAAACAAAAATGGCTTTTACACTTTGGAGATCACTGCATTTGGCTTTTAATATACTTTTTATAAAGTGCCCCGCCTTTTTCAGAAATATGATTTTTGCATAATATGTATTCAGACCTGTAATGGAGCCAGCAACGACCTGATGAGGAAAGTGTGCGAGGATAAAGATCCTGGAGATTCCAACTGCAACAAGCATCACCACATAGAGGACGTAGGGAGCAGCTGATAAGAGAACACTCCGGATTCAGAAAAGGAGAGATTTGTTTAAAAGTAGTTCCAATGTGCAGCAGTTTTGTGCATTTTTAGAGCCAAAGCAGCATACTGCGCTGGATTTAGCTTAAACAGGGACGTACCTGTGAGAACGGGAGTACAGAAAGGACCCCAGCGAGGACACAATGACCCACCAGACTGCTGCTGTCACCATCGCATGTCCAGACGGACTGCCTGGGAAACAGATGCCAACTTTGGACTTGGAGATCTGAATGTTTGATGATTTAAGGACATTGGCTATGACTCAGACACAGTCTATTTTTCTAAGACAACTTCTAACCTGGGCCTGTTTCACAGGTGGACGGAAACTGGTGAATTTTCGGTTGCTTGTTGACAAAAAGACGCGATTCACCGATCCACCAGAATGGCCTCTCTCCAAACAGCAACCTGATTAAAAATAAGTATAATATATAAATACATTTACACACACCCCAAATAACACAAATACATTCAAGGTCATGGCTTCACTATATTTTACTACATTTAATACGGTTTTTAACTTGTTGAATCTAAGACTTTTTTTTTCTCCAAAAGCCTCTACATATTTACTCTTCATTCTTCTTTTTACTTTACTGAATCTTATTTAGTTCAAAGTTCCTTACTGTATTATATTTGGCTTCTCTATACCTCTACATGAACACTCGCAGAAAATAATTAGTGTAATCAGAAATATCGAAATCAAAATAATACATGGCTTTTAAAAATCTATATTATGTCCATAGTAGTTTAGTTGTATTGTTTCTCTACTTGGTACATTTGTAATGTATTTTGTATTTTTCCTTTTTTTCCCCTTAATTGTTGAGGATTTGGGGCTTCATTTTTTCTATGCATGTTCCTCTGTCTTT